GCACAGCATCAGGAGCAATTAGGGGTTCGGTATCTTGCTCAAGGATACTTCGACATGATCAAACCAACAACCTTCCGATTAGTGAACGACCCGGTCTGCCTCTGAGCCACAGCTGCCCCTTGAAACCACAAGACAGCCCGTCTAAAGGCCTCCTGAGATCCTTTAGAATAATCCCTGGCAAACCTTAAAGGCCCCTAAGTCTTTCTACAGGGCTACTGGACTCCATTGGCCCCAGTGGAAGTCCCAGATCTCTCCACAAAATCTCCTTCAGGTTGTCTGGGAACTCCACCAGATGCTTATAGAGGACTAGTGTCTAATGTTTTTCTCATGGGGGTTCCAGGGGGCCTTGAAGGAACCTTGATGATGGATCTTGGCCTTTAAGGGTAGTCCTATTGCCTTGTCTTGAGGGCCCATTAGACCTATCAGGCCATGTGTCCTGCTAGAGAAGTCCTGATATCCTCTCAAGGCCCCCTGGGACCCACTGGACATTGGACCTCCGCGTGGCCATGGTGGATGTTTCTTCGATCCTCAAGGGGGTTCCAGGGTTTCTAGAAGAACACTTGATAAAGGAACTGTTGTTCCAAAATCCCTTTCAAGATACCTGAGACCTCAAACCAGTGGTCCTCCATCAGGCCCACAAGGATGCCTCCTGGGATCCTCTCAACTGCTTCACTATCCTAATTATGTTTAGCTCATTATTACAGTGCCAAATAACCACATACTGTATGGCACCCTTAATGGATCTTTTGGAAGTCCTGCTATGGGCCTGGACAGAATTCTAGGACAAAAGATTAAAAGATTAAAAATGGTTCTCAATATATATATTAGAGATGAATTTCTTTCTCTCTCTTCTCACTCTCTGCCTCTTTCTTTCTCTTTCTATCTGATAACCGTATCTATATGCAATTAGTTCTTAAGCTAAACGCCCCTGAGAATACCTTGGTTAATATTCCGTGAGAGGGTTTAGCAGTAGCAGGTGTTTGGTGTCCAGCAGTGAAACCCTGAATGTAGCCCCGGTAGAGCTGAAGTATTCCTTTGCTTGTCCATCACTCAGGATACTAGACTATTGCGAACTGAAGCTGGCTCGTGTAAAGCTTATATCTTAGTTACAATGAGCTGGATAGGCTTTCATCCTCATTAGGGGAATACTACAGATAAGATTGTCTGGAATGCGACGATACTGAGGCATGTTTACACCCTATCGCATTTACTGCTGCTTTGCACTGTGCATGATCATTGTATTGTTTTTATTCACATACTGTATAAGGGGATAGTGGGAAGCAGATGATGGATATGAATAATATATTAGTCTACTCTCTGTGACCGACACATTATATTGCCTTATTGTTGTGATGTGGCTATAGCTTATCACTTTTGAAAAGCTGAATTACCAAGCTGCTCCTTGGTTCCAGACCCTCACTGTGTGTATTGTTTGTGGTCATTTGATTAATTACAGATTTGTTTGTGACTACATTGCATTTTCCACTGAAATTTAAATAACAAGGGCCTTTCAAGAGGACCTGCATTATTACCTAGTGATACGATCCTATCTCATCACTGTCTTGTAATGCCATGTGTCATTTCAGTACTTTTATTATTTAAGCTTATTTGTGCTGTCATGGTGCATATTGCTATATAAATCTTTTGAATTTCTTTACCTGAAGGTGACAGGATACACACACAATACACACAGCACAGTAATTTGTTTTTGGTTAATTAAAGAGAGCAGAGTGATTGCACTACAGTAGTGTGGTTTTAAACACTCTCTTATCCAAACAAAACTCATGGTTGGCAGTAAATTTGCGGTAACAATATCATTATCATATAAGAAATTACAGGTTTTATATTTCAGTTTATTCAAAATAAAGAGCAGAATAACTGGAGTTACCTTGTCTGATCAGTGAAAACAAAAGAAAGGAAGAAAATACACCACAGTGCTGTTTCTGTGGGCAGGAAATACAGTGCAAAACCCCCCCCAGCAATTAGCAGAAAAACTGGAAACACAAAGCTATACTACAGGGTTTTGCAAAACACCACCTACTGAATACTGGCAGGGACACATCTTATTAAAGCTGACTGTACTCATCATCAGAGGTTGTTGGGATGTTTTCAATCCAATTTCAACTCTGCATTGTCCTGTAATTTTAGACTGTGATTACAACTGTCGGCCGTGAATTCCCAGTAATCCAAAGCAGCATTTGACCAGTAGTCTTTGATACTTTTGAATCCTACCTGTAGCTGTTATTTTGAAACGTTTTTAGCCATACTAACTGCAGGGCTTTAGGGTACAGAGCGGCTATACTCACTGTGCTTCCACTGACTATCCCAGCTGTCTTCCATGTTTGTACTCACTTCTTATATGACTGACTTTCTATGAAAACATTGAAAATTGAAAA